ATTTTTGCAATGAGCCGCCGCAGATAAATGCACCAACGCCCCTTCCAAAATAGAGAAAGAGCGTATACGTTCACAACGTAAAAAATGGTCTCAGTGCATGCATCTGTGGGCAGGTAGGAAACCATTGCCTTAATTTATTCACGCCGCATGATTGACGCAACAAACTCGTTGCAGGACCGAATCATCTACTCGAGCGGTGTACGTCGCTGTGCAAACGCAGTCCAACACGAAGCATAAAAAACGGCAGATTTAAGACAACAATCCGGAGTCCATTATTCAATTAAAACGACGTAATTTTGTTGGAAACGCCCGCTGCTTCTTACTCACGGAATGTGTCGGGATTCTTACACAGTTTGAAACGGAACGAAGGAAGATTTACTTTTAAAAACGCTCGCTGCGTCCTCCCGGACCAGCTGGACCGGATCAGCTTACGACGACGGGACTATACCCGTTGAATCTCCACCCCGCAACAAACAATTTGCGCTCCGTGTTAAAAGCGTGGTTCAAACAGACCCGGAATACAAAGCACCGCAGCACACACAATGAACGTTTCAGCTCTTTTTCGCATCGCCGGGTTGCACCAAACAGAACGCAATCGCCGAAGTCAGCGCCGCGCTGTCGTGAACCTTGGCTTGTGGTTGCGAACTCGTGGACCCTGTGGCTCCCTTCGCTTTCAAAACACACACGACGATCACGAATGGTACTTTCCGTCTTCCGGGAACATCACAGGGGCACTTCTCCGGTCACGTCTTCACCATATGTGCTCGCAAACTCCGAACCTCTATGCGAAGCTTCTCGCGTCCCGTCAAACCAAAACAGTAGTGGCGCCATGCGCACTTGCCAGATATTCTCCGGTCAAACAACGAAAGCCAACCGGCTCTTGCTTCCAGCGTACATCGGCGTTGGGCTTGCGCCGTGGCCAGATCGCTTGCAGTTCAAGGTTGAAGCAAAAACGAAACCAACTGCATGTCACGTGTTCACATCGAGGACACGCTTTTTATATCTATTTTAACTGTTTGGAACGAATAATTAGACCCATGACTTTATTTGTGGTGTGTAAGAAACCGTTATCAAGACCCCTAAACCAGATACAAACATGGGCGACATGAGGGAAGCCGCATTGCCATCGACCAGAAAATGGCGGGGCGGCGAGCACGGTAAGGGTGGGTTTCGCCGACGTCCTGCGACATGGCGCAATTGCTTTTGGTGCATATCTGTCTCCGAGACATATTTTTTTCCGCGGCATTTGTCTCGACGGTTCTTTCTAAGTGTGTCCCCAAGCATTCCGGTGCTTCGATAGCCGGCAATGCCGCGGTCGTCGCCGGGGGCGATGCGTGTTATCGAGGTCGGCTACACGGTTATGCGTGTATGACCGAGCCAAAACACGTTTTTTACAACCTCGCATGATTTCTGAACGAATTATCCGTTACTCATCGTGTAAATTTATGGTAATTTGTGTAAATAGCGTGTTTTTAACCCCAAATATTCGCCAAATACACGGGACTTGCTAACAGTGTAGGATCATGGGTCGCCATGCGTGTGACTCTTGTGTGGGCAATTGCAAGCTTGCTAGTTTTTTTCTGCGCTGGCGCCAGTCGTGACGTCTATTTCTTAACTTCTTAAAAATAGCGAAGCGCGCGTGAATAGCTTTGACAGGTGCTGAAAATGCGCGAGAGCAGGGAACCCGAAAACTCCTAATATGACTTCACGCCACGGGAACGAGGGGATTTAGATGTTCTTTAAGAGTTAATTCTTGCAGCCTCCGTGCACCTAATTGGAAAATAGTTTCGATATTCGTGATCCCGGAGGCCAAATGGAGACGATTTAAGAGTTTTTCCGCAAGTACAGAACTGCATCAGTTTCCTTTTAAGAAACATACGTTTAAAACAATCTTTGGTGAAGCTACGTGCCAAAGTAAATTCCAATTGAGCTTTAAAGACATGAAGGTATTCGAAGAAGAACAAAAATTTTGCTGTGAACAACGTCTGACAGCCTCTTGACAGCAACATATAAACACCGGTCTTATTTGAGGATGCCGTATTTAAGTTCCAGGTGCAAGAATAGTCAGGACACGCTATGCCACCAATCTTTGCCAGGAACTATACTAACGTATTTAGGACGTTAAAAACCAATAGAAAACAATCATATCGCAAAAAAGATGATTCTGACACCGTGTACGAGTTATAAACTAAATATATACTGCAATAGTGTTTCAATTATTTGCCTTTGAATTGCACAAAAAAATGTGAGCGAAATGCTCTACCTTCTCAGTGTTATTAGCGCCAGCATTTTAGTTTGTCTCTTAAAATTGGGAAATTTACGTGCCAAACAAACAACGGGCACCTGGCACTTCCCAGCGGAGGCCTGAAGATTAATTTGTATTACCTGGAGACGCAATAAGCCTCCGTGAGAATGCGGGCACCTCGGCCGGGATTCGAACCCTCCACCTAGGTATCCATAGGCTGGCGCCCTCAATTCGGAGCCACCGAGACGGCCAGTTTGTCTGTATTTTTTTTTTCTTTGTTGCCTGGGGTTGACATGACACTTATATATTGTGTGACATGACAGCCATATACAATATAAAGCGTCAGGCCGCCAGGCGGTCCTTGGCCCTGACGCTGTCAAATTTAAAAATCTCTTAACGTCACACCAAGTTGCTTGGACGCTGAACTGGCCTGTTCGATTTATTCCAGTGCTGCACGAGCTCAGCCTCAGTTCCACAGAATCTTGCGCTGGCCGAAGTCGGTTCAGCGTTCATGCAGAAACAGGTGGCAACTCTTCGGTTTTTCGGAAACCAATTACAGGGTCGTTTGTAACGCTGCAGCTTAAGTTCACGCAGCCGCAGCCCGACTTGCGCACTGCTTCTGCACTCCTCTGAACTCGGTCTGAACTGGTTCAAAACTTTCGGGCCGAATCATGCATGCCTGCTGTTGGGTCTACATCTTCAAAACTTTCGGGCCGAATCATGCATGCTCTTGGGGTCTACATGGTATCACAAGATATTAACAAAGCATGAATTGTAGTGGAAATTGCTTGCTTATAATTGCAGGAAGTAAAATATTAAATTTTTCAGGAAACTGTAGATATATATGACTCATTGTTGTATTCTTTTCCCCTGCAGATGCCTTCGACGAGTACCTATGGAGGCATCCTCGAGAGGCCTCTCCAAGGAAGAGGACAGCTCGGGTGAATCTACTACAGTATGCAAATTTGTTAATATCCTACTGCAGGATATTAACTAGAAGTTTGACTTCTAAGCTTGCTTAGAGGTTAAGCTTCTTCTTGGTGGTCTGCAGATGCCAATTTGCGTTCACTAAATACATATATAACCTGAAATGACCTGGCTCATGCTCATTCTTTGCATGACAAATGCATGCGAATTGTTAAACCTGCAAAGATACATCCATCCGTTTGCAAACGTTGGACACCATGTTGATTCCTATTACTGTATCAGAACGGATAAACCTTTAAAGATATAGGTTTCTCTATCCGAACAGATGAACATGCATAAATATCGGTTCCTATATCCAAATAGGTCAACCTGTAAGGTATGGGTTCCTATATCTAAACGGGTCAACCCGTACAGGCACGGTTTCCCTTACCTAAACGGGTCAACCCGTACCGGCACGGGCCCCGTATACGAACGGGTTCCTGTATCTGAATGGGTCAACCTGTACAGGTACGGGTTTCCAGTAGCATACGGGAGACCCGTATCCCATAACACCGTAGGAGATATACGAGTCAACCAGTATGAATTTTTATACGGGTTTTTTCAGTAGGGAAAGGGTCTTTTGAGCACCTTATAAAAAAGTTCTTCATGAAGAACCTTTAAGGAGTTCTTTTAAGTTCTCGTTTCAGTGAAAGAGTTCTTCGTGAGGAACTTTTAAAAAGTTATTTTCAGCCCTTTTCTCGCTAAAACATTTCTTGGTGAAGAACCGTTTAACAGTTCTTTTAAGTACTCTTTTCAATAGAACAGTGCTTCGTGAGGAACGTATAAAAAGTGTTTTTTTCAGCCCTTCTGTCTCTGAAACAGTTCTTCTTAGTTTTCTCTCGGGTGCAACGGTTTTTCATCAGTTACCTTTGGAAAGTTCTCATACGCTTTTTTAATTAACAAGGTAAAAATAGGAAGAACCTTTATAAGTTCTTTATGGTCTAAGGAAACAAGTTCTCAATAAACTTTCAAAAGAACTTTTATGTTGGGGTGTGCGACCACCCCCTCGGTTCAAATGGCGCAGCGATATTTCCAGGTTTAGCACTGCAATGAAAGCCAGTGTGTATAGTAGACTTGTTGAATCTAGGAATATCGCTGCGCTATTTGAACCGAGGGGTATTCGCACACCCCAACAGTAAAGTTCCCTTGAAAGGTTATTTAGAACTGTTATTTCCTTGGACCCAAAATAACTCAATAAAGGTTTTTCATGATTAACTAGTGAATTCAAAGAGCTTATAAGAAGCTTCCAAAGATATTTTATGAAAAATCGTTCCAGTCAAGACAGAACTAAAAAAAACTACGAAGGACATTTCATTTCGACCACTATTTGCTCACCCTTAACTTTTAAGTTATTTTTTCACCAAGAGAGCTTTCTATTATGAAAATTTTCAATTAAAGCTTTTTTGCAAACACCACTTTCGAGTTAACTTGAATAACTAATTCGCAAAACCCGACTTGGGTAGCAATTTTAGGTGTTCAGTAGCTCTTTTGAAAACCGCTCCTTATCGACTGTCTCGAACTGTTCAAAGAGGGAATATACATCATCTAGACGTTTTGTAAACGTCCACAGATGTGCGAAACAGGCTTTGAACAATAAGGCACCTTTTCCGGGGAAGTACATCTACTGCAGAACCGCTGGCTTGAATGGGTATTCAAATACACATTCATCGTTGTTACTCTTCTCAAGACCAAGTATGAGGTTTCGCGAATAGAGGTAGCAGAAACAAAAGACATGCCCTGCAATGTCCCACTTGTAATGGTGAAAAGAAGAGAAGATGCAGCGGTTCACAAAACAAAAATTCTGACGTTTATTGAACATGACTAGATCGAAACCTAGCACATGAGTAGAATGCTTCTCCGCCTAAAATATAGATCAAATAAAACACGGCCTAGTGGAACGTCATACTTCACAGATTCATTACACATATTGAAAAACTTTTGAATTAACTTTTCCTAGAACTCCGAGGGCTTCCAAAGAGCGTGCAATGAGTGTGCAAAATATAACTCCGAGAACTTTCACACAGTCTGCAATGACTGTGTGCAAAATGTGACCGAAACAAAACTATTCATACTACCGAAATTCTTGGGCACTGGGGTAGGAACATTCTAAAAATCTAGAACCTCCTTTCAAAGCAAAATTTCGCTTTTAGTCCTTGAAAACTATAATTTGTTGCCAATTAGCCACTTTTTAGTACTTCTCATATATCTATAAGCAAATGAACACCAAACCTAATATTTCGAGATGGCCACCGTTAGGCCCTGGAGGAAGAAAAAATGAGAAGTTTGCCGAGGGCTTCTTTGTCAGGTACATTTTTGAGGGTAATTCCTGCTTTATAACCCTGGCTCGGTAAATAGTTATTTGAGAAATTATCACAGCTTAAACGGTGGGAATAGTGCACACAAGGAAAAAAACTGGAGAAAGAACATCGAACAGCGCTAACTTGTAACTAAAAAATGTATTATCAAGTCAGTGGAATATATACGGCAGCAAACAATACATAGAAAAAAATATACACGAAAACCTCATGAATCACTTTCAGGCATTTTTGAAATCGGTGAGTTTTAACCTTAAGAAAAGAGTTGCACCTTGCAGCTTGGCACTCCATGGACAGGTTTATTCAAACCCCTTCAGTTGCCGAATTGAATCAGAAGAAGGGTGAAACTTCATTATCCGCTGAAGTAGGCCATCCGTTGTTTGTTCTATTTTTGCTTGTACACTCGAACTGCTGCTGGTACCCTTCATGAGATCCAGCTCCTGCTGTAGCTGAAGATAAATTTTTCTCTGTTTGGGTGACAGAGCAAGGCGTTATTATTTAATTAAGGCTAACCAGCATTAAAGTTACACCGTACTGTGCAAAATATCACAAATGTTAGTTTAAAAGCCCATCAAGCTCTAGCTTTGATGAGATCAAATATATCCTACTTCTTGTGAATCCCCTAGAGGACTTCTATGAGAAACTGAAATTTTGGCCTTGAGAAAATGTAGACAACGTTCTAGATGTATGATTTCCTATGTGGTGCATTACCGAGCTCAGATCTAATATTTAACCACTAACAAAATAAAACGAAAACTGACTTGAAAAAACTTCTTAACCTTTTTTTGTTTAGGTATGCTGTATAGATAAAAATGTTATCTTGGTGACGAGGTGGACCAGGCAACCACTCTGGTGTGGAAGCAGGAAAAAGGGAATCGCGGCAAACCAAGACATCTGGCCCCTTCCTTCTCATGATGCCACTCTCCCACCATACACTGCAAGTGAGCATAGCACAAACAGGTGTTAAACCCAGACAAAGAGCACAACGACACTGCAAGTAGGACTTCTGAAAACCAGGTTGTTAGCTCAATTTAGACAGTGCCTAAGTCTCTTAGTACCCTTCTTGGGTTTGAAGTAACTCAAAACCGGACAAAACTAATGCACCATTCAGGCTGTCTATTGCTTTGAAAGTTTAGTGGAAAAGACATTGAAAGTACCACTTCGGGAATGCAGAGGGCCGGGTACAGCTAAATAACATCAGTGGTGGTCTTGCCAGCGATGGCTACCCTCCTTGCCTGTGACGTCCGTGCCATCATTTTAAGTAAGAGCTTCACATCTGGTGCAGCCTTGGAGCATTCAGTAGTTATAATCTCTACGTGGTCTGCAATGTTGTTGGTACCATCTCCTACGTCATGATGAGAAACCTCAAAAAAAGTTAGTGCCATGCACACAATATGAGATTTGAAAAACAAAGTTGTGTACCAGATGAACTCTAGCAAGGTTTGTTTTATGTTACATGAAAAATTGTAATTTAAAAAGTGGGTGCACGGGTCCAAATATATCAAGTTATATGCACTTTATATTTAGCTATAATAAGGCAGTTCAGTGAAACAAAAGAGATTTAACCGAGAGACAACCAGAGAGTATTAGATATATCTGACAAGCCATGCAACTGTGACTTTTACAGATTATATTTACAGCAATGTATTTCGTTCGAGTCACTTTGGAGTACCTGTAACCTGTTGCAGTAGTCAAAAGTCCATTTAGGAGCAGCTAAAAGTCCGTTTAGGAGCAGCTAAAAGACGTATTGGCATGTAAGCACAAACTTCTCTATTCTTACCACTGTGAATATTATCATATGGCTAATGCTCAACTAAGACACTATATCTACTTTGCCCTCCCACTCCTATACAACCGTTTGCTAGCATGAATTGCTTGACAAGTTTGATTCTTTCGAACAAAGACCTATCTGCTTAGTTGCACATAGAACACCAGACATGGCAACAGCAGTCTGAGTGATGATGGATAGTATGAACTGCTGTGAATGGTCGTTTTAGGTACGGAATCAAAAGTAAAGCAAACAGTATGTACCACTAAAATAAAATAATGTTAAAATAGAAACATTTTGAGTACTCAAAGTGATGTTTTGTTGCAGTTCTAAAAGTTATAATAAGAAAAAAATTTCGTTATTTGATAGTGGATATCAATGTCGTATATATAAGACATAAAAAACATCTGCGTGCGAACAATAAATATTCCTTTTAAAAACAATCAAGCCGAATTCGGTAAGGTTATTCCCAAGCTTCTAACCATTCCTCTGGTCGACCAAATTAAAACTGTAAAAAGATTCCTCTCATTTTGCCAATATGTAACAGGCTAAGCGCTTCGAAGCATATGGTGCAACAATTGCATAACTACATTTAGCTGAATAACTATTTGAGAACAGTTACCGCTTCCAGGTTAGTTTTATTTCTTTTAATTGTATCAGAAGCATGTTATAAAAAACTTACCATGTTCCTTTTGTATTTTTGAATACAGTCGCTGGCGTTGGCGTTCTCCCTTTCGCTTTCGCCCACCACCTTTGCCATCGTTTTCCTTGTTTTGCTGAACTTCTGGCAGATGCATAAGAAGCAACCTTTCCTTTTTCCTTTTGTTAATAAGGCTGTGTCGCAGCGAATCCTACAGTGAGAGTGATGCGTAGCAAGCCTGTTACTATGCAGATAATGAACTTTGATACAAGCATTTCCATTGTCAGAGTGAAAACAAGGTCTTGTAAATCTTACGCAGAGTCCAGTGGAGTCAGCCAGGAAGGGGTATGTCGCTTGGAAGGCACGCATGACATCATCTAGCTAAGACCGACTTGGCGTTCCGGAAAGAAAAAAGACAACAAATGTTAGCCTCTATTTTAAGATATATAAGTGAGGACTTCAAATGCTGCTGCTTACGGAGTTTTGCTCAGAATGTCGTCTGCCAACGCAGCGACCAACTTTGTTCCTGCTTCATTTCGCTGCGGTTGAAGGAGCTGTCCACTCTTTTCACCCAGCCCCTGTAACAGTGGCGGAGGAAATTTTGGGAGAGTATATCTCTGTGGCCATACATTCCTCACAACTTCTGTAGACCAAACTGAGGCTGCTGTGTTACTAGCACGAGCCACATTGGAGGGTCCAGGCAAGCTGAAAGATAACAATGTAATTAGTGCATCTTGAATTTTTTCAAATGAAACGCCAATTTCCAATTGGGTAATGCGCCCTACCTTTCTCTTATATCTCCTTTTAGCTGTTCAGTCAGTTTTAGGAGTTTGACTCGTAGTTTCATAGCAGAGAGAAACTGCTCAATCGTCCTCACTGGCAAGTTTAGTAACGTCTCTCCATCAACCTCTTCTGTATAAAAGGAGATAAAATATTGCACATGCAGTATATATCATAAACATATATGTTAATGACACAAGTTATACCACATTTTTTGCCTTTTTATTCTTATGGTGTACACAAATATAGTATAAAAAAGTGAAGGGGGGAGGGGGGGGCAACCATGGAGCAGTGGCATGCATCACCTTCACACTGCTTCCATGTTCTGGTTCCGCAGATCCTCCCTCGAGGTGTTTAGGTTTCATGTGCTTCCTGAAGCTCTCAAATGCGGTAAAATATCGTCCAGACGGAGAGCACTCACCAAACGTGCAAATATAATTAAAGTCCGGGTCACCATGAGCTATCTGGACATGATTTATCAGATGACTCCCAATGTGGTAGCACCGTGAACACTTTGAACACTCGTATCCGCTCATGCTGAAATCGCACAAACGACGACAAATCTCATTAAACGCCGAAAGACCCGGAAGCACTTCCTCACTCACAAAACATGTCCAAATATCCATACTGAACTACAAGTTTCATAAAAAATATTGGCGTGCACATGGAAGGATAGCGCCATCGAGACCCAGATCAGCCGCCATTACCGGCGCTACTGGCACTGAAAACAGTTGGCAGTTGGAAACTGAAAACGCGAGATGAAAACGACGCCGCTAACCAACACAAACAAAGAGGATGGAGCATTCTGCTTACCTTCGAATCCCTGGGCGAAGCCTGCAAGGTTTTGCTTTGTCAACCAACCTGACAGGTCCTCGAGCTTCCATCTAGACACATCTGCATATTCTCTCACCGTGACCACATCCATTGAATGCCGCCGACAGAACTAGGTCGGAACAGCAAAGACCGAACCCCGAATTGTTGGCCGCCGTTACTTTCGTCTTTACAGAATCTCCCGCGGCCAACGGCGCGGCGCACTGGCACTCCTTCGCGCGCAACCGCTTCTATTTTAACCGCTTCAACGTCAAAGCGCTGCTCGGTGACGTCATTCTTTCCATTTCATAAATATTTGATTCGTTATCCCTCAAGAGTTCAAAATAAATGTTAATACAAAAAGGAACAAAGATAGCATCATGTCTTTAGCGGTTTTTGTCGACAATTTTTGGGCATGTCACGGTTCGAATAAGATGTGTGACTAATGTCCGCGCTCACGTGATCACGTTGGTCGCGTGTCGGGGAAGCCACGGAACCTCTCGAACGAGCCCGTCGTATTTGCTTTGGGTGAGCGGGCGGAGACAGTGGAGTCCGTTTCGCGTCGTAACGGCGGTCGGTGGCGGCGATTAAAGGCGTATGACGTGTGTTTCGGCATACTGCAGCAACCTCCGGAGAGTCTCGGCTGCCAGAAACTGTGTCTTAGCGTAAGGTTAAAATAGAGGTATGGGCGTTCTCTATCATTCGACATTTAGCCGAGTTTTTCGTAGGGTCTGCTATGCGCACCGCCCCTGCCAACTGCGTGTCGTGCTGCATTCTCGAACCTCTCTGCGTAGGTCTACGAAAGATCTGAGGTACGGTTTGAGTCGCGCCTAACTTAGCTTTCAAGCGGCGTCGATCTCGCGCTTGCCCTGTACATCGCGATGACTTGTTGGCCATCCTGTTCCTCTAGAACATGAATTATATATTGACGTCGCTCGCCCACCACAAACGAGGTAATTACGAAGGCCTGACGCAAGTAAACAATCAATTATTCATGCAACATTGCTATTTTTGTGGTAGGCTGCCGTGCATACTCCGCTCCGTGGGATGTATTTTTTTTTAGACCTAATATTTAAGTGCAACATCCAGAAACAACGTTGCGCTTCTGTGAAGTATTGCATTTCAAAAGATTTCAGTACTAAATAAATTAACAAGAGCATCTTACTCTTATGATATTCGCCACTTCATGGCTATAAAACTTCTATGACAATTACTAATCGAGGGTATGCAACGAGAACTCACCAGAAATCAATGCTGCTGCAAAACAAACAAAAAAAACAAAAAACATTATAAAGTCCTTTTTTCTAGGCAACGTTCTTCATCGCCCACTCGGCTTTCTGGTGCGCCATTGGCCGACAATGTTTGAGAGAAAACAGTTCTTCACGAGGTGGAAGAGTTCTTGGGGCGGCGAAGAACCTTTCAAGAACGGAGTTTTTTAGAGTGCATGGCCTTCCCAAAGGGGACTTTTTTGGTCACCCGCCCCGCTGGTTAGAAGTAGCCGACCGTGGCCGTGACGTGCTTGGGCACCGGCGGCGATGACTCTAAGCTTCCACCGTGCTTTTTAAGCATCCCATGGAGTTTGTCATTCTCAAGTGAAGATAAGTGCCGCCCGTGCCCTCCATGGCCACGATCGCGAATTCAAATATTCGTCGACGGATAGAATGTTGACGGGCGAATACGCCCGAGTTACACAGTGCTCGTGCCGAGTGCGTGAGCTGGGCTCGGCTGACGAGCTGGAAGACCTCGGATGCATGAGAGAGAAAAGGAGGAGAACATTTAAAGAAAGGGAGGTACTAAATTATCCGTCCTATTTTAGAAGTTTTGTATGAAAAACAGGCTTTAAATATCTACGCTCATGCACTACCTTTATTTTGGCCCACTAAACGATATGTGATTAGAAAAATACCAATTTATTTCAGCCGAAAATTCGTTTCTTGGTCCATTTAACGGCTTTGCGAGTGCTTTGTTTGTATAATACGTGTGTTTCTTCATTTCGTAAATGTGTTGGTTTATGTTTTCAACCGATTGCTTGTTGACGTGTAGGTTATTTGAACGTACAATCGGGAGCAAAAGTTTGCGGGGCACGGGAGCGCGTGCCAAAATGCCTCGCCGCGCCGTGCAACGGCAGGCTGCCGCATTAAAAAGTCGTGCTTTGCGCGTGCGCGTCCTTCGTGCTGGCAGTTATGTCTCTTTCGCTCGTTTCTGTCCGACTCACTCCTGATAACCGGGGTCGGCGCCAGGGGCGCAAATTGCCGTTTCGCTGGCTGCCATTCCTCGCGTCCTCTTCAGCTGCCTCAGCAGCCGCGCTGGGTGACGGAGCGTCTGGTTGTCCCCCCCTTTCCCCCGCGAGCTCCGTCACAAAGCGCGGCAGCGGCGGCTGAGGCGGCTGAAGCAGACGCGCAGCATGACAGCCTGCGAAGCGCTAACTCGCGCCCCTGCCGCCAGCTTCTGTTATCAGGAGTGCGTCGGAAAGAAACGAGCGGCGACAGAGACAGGATAGCGTGCACGAAAGGCGCGCATGCGCATAGCGCGGCTGCTTAATGCGGCACCTCGCCGTCGAACGGCGCGGCGATGCATTTCGGCACGCGCTCCGGTGCCCCGCAAACCTTTGCTCCCGACTGTACATTTCACTGTTCTTTTATTTTAGAGGCCTGGAGCCCATCAAGTTGGTTTAACAGCTTTTATTTCTTATCTACCACGAACATTTGCGAGGGTGGTTCAAATGGAACCCTTCAATAATCATGACTGGAAATGAGCGCCAAAGGACCGGGGACAAGTTAAGAAGTGGACGACAAAACGGGGCGCACTCCCAACCGAAAGTTTATCAGAAAACACACATACCTAAAGTAAAACCTTGTCAATTCCAGCGTCCCCCCTCTTTTTATAAATATAAAAGTTCTTTATATGATAAGGCCACTGCCGGCTCGCTGATACAGATATCAGCCCCTCTTGTTTTGATGATGATGCTTCTGGTTTTTTGCCGTTCACGGGCGTTTAGGCAAACAACTATATATTTCCTTTTCAGGCTGTCCGCTGCGTCAGTCTAGAAAGTAGAAATTTCTGGACTGACGCAGCGGACAGTCTGAAAAGGAAATATAGAGGTGTTCGCCTAAACGCACGTGAACGGCAAAAAACCAGACCGGCCATCATTCCTTACCTTGACGCTATCTCCCACAACTTAATAAAGAATGCGGAGCGTTACAACGTTTTGGTTGTTTTTTCGGCACCGAAGAAACTCTCGGCCTTGTGCAGAAAAATAAATGCTCGGGAAGAAGCTAGTGACGAATGAAAAAAGGAAAACCACACAAAGTTTGTGGACTGTACAACATCTGTCGTCTACGATATACCATGGCCTGTGTGCGCTCGTATGTGGGGCAAACAGGCCGCTGCATTATTGATGGTGCGAGTGAGCAGGCGGCAGCTATCAAACAAACGCCGTCAGGCCATATGGCCGTGCACTGTGATCGATACCCGTGCACCCCGAAGTTGTCTAACACAATCATCCTAGGGCAACACAGCAAAAAAAAAAAAAAAAAAAAAAAAACCAGAGAGATTTACGAAGCATTCATCATCAAAACAAGAGGGGCTGATATCTGTATCAGCGAGCCGTCAGTGGCCTTATCAGATAAGGAACTTCTATATTTTGAAAAAGAGGGGGGACGCTGGAAGTGACAATGTTTTGTTTTAGGTATTTAAGCATGTGTAATTTCTAATAAACTTTCTGTTACGAGTGCTCCCCGTGTTGGTCGTCCACTTCACTTGTCCCCGTTCCTTTGGCGCTTATTTCCAGTCATGAACCAACAAGCCCAGCTAAACATTTTGTTTAAATAATTATTATGAGGCAAATAAGAAAATATAAAAATATACATATTTTGGGATGTGGTCCCCATTTCGTGCAATGCACGTGTTCCAACGCTTCGCAAGGATACCTTGTGCGAAACATTATATTGGTTGTGACTTCATTCACGAGTAAACCGCGGTGTTCACCTCTTCGTCGCTTCCGAAATGCTTGCCTCCAATAGCTTCTCTGAGCCGTTCGAACACATTAAAATCACTAGGGCCGAGATCGGGCTAATAAGGTGGATTAGTGAGACATTCAAATTTAATAACCTTGGTTACCGCAAGCGCCGAAAACATCACCGCTACGGCGATGTTTTCGTTCATCACTACGGGGTGTGTCAGGTCCGGGGTGTCAGCCACAGAACTTACGCTGTTTTTAAACCTTCTGGTCCACTCGTACACTTGTTGCAGAGAGACACACGGATCACCGTACTACGATTGCATCGTGCGATGAATCTCAGCTTGTTAAACACATTCATGACTCGAAAAGACGCCTCCCAGATCGCTGCTCTAACGCTGTGCATGTCGGCAATGGGGCGACTAGTTTTGCACTGAAGCTGCTTCCTTTTTCTTTGTTGAAGCGACACTCTGCCACCTGTTGGTAATTGTTTTTATTCCAAAGGATAACTATTACCAATTACCAAATCAAACATACAAATTTTCGAAATTTAATTGTCTTTCTTTTAATTTGAATCACGTTCGTACTTTCATTGAAAGACAAGATATTTCTTTCTATTAAGTTTTGGCCTTTTGTAAAAATTATCTATACGAAAAATTTAGGAGTCATATACTTTATATTTTGTTCATGCGGTACCTGATTTGACACGATATTCACGTCCAAGTAACCGCACACACCCACTGCACTTTAAGCGCTCCAAGAAGGGGAAAGTACCTGACAAATAGATTCGTTACAAAGAACACAAACGCAGTTAAATCAATAAAGTTAGCCCCAATAATTTATAGCACAGCTCTTCGAACGTGGGCACAAAGACGGCGTTCAAAGAGCATAGGACAATGCCAACGCAGACCCTTATCTGCACTTTGAAAACCTTCCGGAGGACGATACTTGTTTGTTTTACAATAGCGTGTTATTTTTCCAAGAGGCTTGACGATTTTTGATACATTTCACTTTCATTTCAAAATTGAGAGTTAAGCTTGTTTGCAAGAGATTGGCCGGAGTAGGTCACCTGCTCGATTCTAAGTTGTTTTGAGGCAACAGCACGGGGTTTAGAGGTAAGTTCATTTACAGCCTGCAGACTTTCCTTGGATTATCATATAGTATCGAACTAAACTGATATCTGTAGTAGTGATGTTTCGCTTCTTTAATATCCGCGTTGAGCTTGTTTCTCATCTTCTTGCATTCTTGTAGTATACCTGTACTTCCTGTTGTA